ATGGAGTAAGAGTAGCTTTTACAATGTTGAGATATGTTCTGTTATCCCTAATTTTTCTAGTGTTTTGAACATAAAGCGGTGCTTTGTTTTGTCAAATGCTTTGTCTGCATCTACTGAGATGATCATATGATCCTTATCTTTAAGTCTATTGATGTGGTGAATTACATTTATTGATTTCTGTATGTTGAACCAACCTTGCATCCCTGGGATGAATCCCATTTGATCGTGGTACATGATCTTTTTGATATGATTTTGTATTCGATTTGTCAGAATTTTATTGAGAATTTTTGCATCCATGTTCATTAGAGATATTGGTCTAAAGTTTTCCTTTTTTGATGTGTCTTTGCCTGGTTTTGGAATCAGGGTGATATTGGCCTCATAGAATGAGTTTGGAAGTGCTCCCTTTTTTTCTATTTCCTGAAATAAATTGAAGAGTATTGGTATTAGTTCTTCTTTAGAAGTTTTGAGGAACTTGATTGTGTATCCATCTGGTCCTGGGCTTTTCTTGGTTGGTAGGCTTCTATTTCGTCACTTGAAATTGATCTGTTTAAATTGTGTATATCATCCTGATTCAATTTGGGCAAATTGTATGACTCTAAACATTTTTCAGTGCCTTCAATATTTTCTATTTTATTGGATTACAGGTTTTCAAAATAATTTCTAATTATCTTCTGTATTTCTGTACTGTCTGTTGTGATATTTCCTCTTTCATCATGTATGTTAGTAATTTGAGTTTTCTCTCTCCTTCTCTTCGTTAGCATGGCTAAGGGTCTGTCAATTTTTTAAAAATTTTTTCAAAGAACCAACTTTCTGTCAATTTTTTGATTGTTTCTTTTGTTTCAATTTCATTGATTTCAGCTCTGATTTTAATTATTTCCTGTCTTCTGCTTTTGGTGTTGATTTGTTCTTCTTTTTCTAGGGCTTTGAGATGTAATGTTAAGTCATTTATTTGTTGACTTTTTCTTCTTTTAAGGAATGAACTCCATGCAATGAACTTTCCTCTTAGAACTGCTTTAATAGTGTCCCAGAGATTTCAATACATTGTATCTGTGTTTTCATTCCCCTCTAAAAAATTTTTAATCTCCTCCTTGATGTCTTCTGCAACCCATTGTTCATTCACTAACAGATTATTTAGTCTCCAGGTGTTGGAGTGGCTTTTATTTCTTATTTTATTGATTTCTAATTTCATTCCATTATGATCTGATAGAATGCAGGGTAGTATCTCTACTTTTTTATATTTGCTTAGAGTTGCTTTTTGGCATAGTATATGGTCTACTTTACAGAAGGATCCATGTGTTGCTGAGAAGAAAGTGTATTTTCTCAATGAAGGATGAAATATTTTATATATGTCAGTTAAGTCTAAGTTATTGATTATATTATTGAGTTCTATTGTTTTTTTATTAAGCTTTTGTTTGGAAGATCTATCTAGTGATGAGAGAGGTGTGCTAAAGTCACTCAAAATTATTGTGTTGTTGTTTATTTGACTCTTGAACTTGAGAAGAGTTTGTTTGATCAATGTAAGATGCTTCATTGTTTGGAGCATATAGATTTTATAATTGTTAAGTCTTGTTGGTGTTGGTGTATGGTTCCCTTGATCAGTATGTAGTGTCCTTTTTGATTGACTTTAGTTTGAAGTCTATTTTATTTGATATGAGAATGGAAAGCCCTGCTTGCTTCCGCAGTCCATGTGAGTAGTATGATTTTTCCCAACCCTTCACCTTTAGTCTGTGGATGTCTTTTCCTATGAGACGAGTCTCTTGGAGGCAGCATAATATTGGATCTTTTCTTTTTTAAATTTTTTGATCCAATCTTCTAGTTTGTGTCTTTTGATTGGTGAGTTTAGGCCATTAACATTCAGGGTTATTACTAAGACATGATTTGTATTCCCAGCTATTTTTGTTTAATTTTGGTATTTAATGTGATTTGGTTTCTCCTCTGATTAAATTTTCCTTTAGTGTAATCCTTCCCTCTGCTGATTTTCATCATTGTTTTTTATTTCCTCTTCTTGGAATATTTTGCTGAGGATGTTCTGTAGTGCAGGCTTTCTAGTTGTAAATTCTTTTAACTTTTGTTTATCATGGAAGGTTTTTATTTCATCATCAAATCTAAAATTTAGTTTTGCTGGATATAAGATTCTTGGGGTTGGCATCCATTTTCTTCCAGAGCTTGGTATATGCTGTTCCAAGATCTTCTGGCTTTCAGGGTCTGGGTTGAAAAATCTGCTGAGATACAAATTGGTCTCCCCCTATATGTGATCTGATTCCTCTCTCTTGTGGCTTTAAGAGTCTATCCTTATTCTGTATGCTAGACATTTTCATTATAATGTGCCTTGGTGTAGATCTGTTGTAATTTTGTACATTTGGTGTCCTATAAGCCTCTTGTATTTGGTTTTACAATTCGTTCTTCATGCTTAGGAAGTTTTCTGATATTATCTCACTAAAGAGATTGTGCATTCCTTTGGTTTGAAACTCTGTGCCTTCCTCTATCCCAATAATTCTTACATTTGGTCTTTTGATGCTGTCCTGTAATTCTTGGATGTTCTCTTCATGGTTTCTAACTTTCTTCACTGTGTGATCAACTTTGTTTTCCAGATTGTATACTTTGTCTTCATTATCTGATGTTCTTTCTTCCAAGTGATCTAGTTTGTTGGTTATGCTTTCTATTGAGTTTTTAATTTGGTTATTGTATCCTTCATTTTAAGGATTTCTGACTTGTTTTTTTTTTTTTTTTTCAGAGTCTCTATCTCTCTCTCTTGAAGTAATCTTTTGCTACCTGTATTTGCTCTCTTATCTCATTGTTGGAGTGGTCAATTTTTGCCTGTATTTGCTCATTTAGGTCATTCTTTAATTCACAATCATTTTAATTATGAACCTTCTGAACTCCTTCTCTGACATTTGGTCAACTTTGCTGTTCATGGTTTCTTTTATTATAGTGCCCTGGTTTGTTTGGGGGCACTTTCTTCCCTTGTTTTTTCATGTTGTCTATGTGTCTTCCTTTCTTGCAGAGTGGATCTGAGATATTATAGTTTCTTCCCTATATTCTTGTATACCTCACCTTGATGTGGGGATTCTAGACCCTGCTGGTGTCCCTCAGTGTATGCTACTGCATCTAAAGGTGGTGGTGGCAATAGCTGAGGTAACTCAAGATAACAGTTAAGGTGCCCCAAGAGGGAAGCAGAGATGGGACTGAAAGGGTGGGCCTCACACTCCCTTTGGGATGCCTGCTCTGAGTTGCAGCTGCTTCTAGGCCCTGTCTGCTATCAAAATGTTAGGGTTACTGCCTGGGGAAGGCTATGGTGATGACGGTAGTGTCCCAAGATGGAAGTGGGTTAGGCTTAGGCTCTCAGGTATGTGTGTGTGTGGGGGGTGAACTCAGACCTACCCCGGACCTGGGTCCTATGCAAGTCAGTGTGAAAGGCTCTGAGCTGGGCCTGGGCTCCCGTGGTGGTAGTCTTCTGGTCGGAAGAGGCGGCCCTGTGCCAGAGGCTAGGCTCTGGCGGGTGTCTGCTCCGTGGGTGGAGGGGTGGACTGGGGCCTGTAGTTATTTTCTTTAGTGTGGCTCTTTTAGTGATAAATTGACCCAGTTTTTTTGTTATATAAAATTATCTTTACTCTTCATTCTTGAATATTTTTACAGGGTATAAAAATGTAGGTTGCTTTTATTTTCTATGGAACTTGGAGAATATTCTGTGTTGTAGGTCTTCCATTGTTTTTAGTGCAGGTTCAGCTGTTTATCTACCTATTAGCAGCTTTATAGGTAGTTGTTTTTTCTTCCGTTTTTAATATTTATTTTTTTCTGTATAGCACCTACTTGTGGATATTTGTAAGGCTTTTAAAAAAATAAATTTTAATTGTAGATGGACACAATACCTTAATTTTATTTATTTATCTTTTTGTGGTGCTGAGGATTAAACCCAGTGCCTCACACAAGCCAGGCAGGTGCTCCACCACTGAGCCACAACCCCAACCCCTGTAAGTTTGTTTTTTATTTTTGTTTTGATTGTCCCCAGCTCCCCTTTGGTTTGGTGTTCTTATTAGATATTGAATCTATGCTTTTTATTTTTTGGATAATTTTCAACTTTGATTTCTTCAGATATTTCTCATGTGCCATTCATTCTTCTGTCATTTGTGATTCAGATTATTGGTATTTACATGTTTAAAATATCTTTTTCTATGGTTTTTCTGATTCTCTCAGTTTGTTTTTTAGTTTTAATATTTCTATAATTTATTTTTAAGTAATGATCAGTTCCTTCCCCCATATAGACCCCCATACACCTTCCCTCTAGTCTTTAAAACAATCATGCCAATATTATTTTGCCATTTTTATAGATAATATTTAGAGAGATTAATTACCTTGTCCATGTTCACATAGCTGTCAAATATCCAGAGCTAAAATTCCAGCCAATGTCTTATTGATTCAGTATTTCTTGCTGCTTGTATGTGAAATGATGTGTTCTTTTTTCTATCTTTCTGTCTTTCTCACTTGATTTTTGGGTAGTAGCTATAGTTCAAAGTGGTGCTTGTATTGATGAATTATATTAGATTATCTTAAAATAACATTCTGTCATTCTACTTTTATTTATTAGATGAACAAAAGTGTACAGATTTATGAGCCAAATATTACTCTTGTTTTGGAATTATTTTTCTACAAGGAAAGAAGAATGTATACAGTTTATTCTAATAGAGGATAGGAAGAGATAGTTTCATGGATAGAACCAAATAAGAAAGTAATGTCCTTCCTGATGGAATTACGAAAATATTCACTGAGTGGGTACTACCTAGCATGGAAGATATAGCAATATGCTTTTTTCCTATTATAATGTACTCGTTTATTAATACAAGTGAGGAAAATCAATACTAGTTTTTCATTTTATATTTCCCTTCAACAAATCTATTTTTATGTACTTTGTCACTAATTGGATAGTCATGTAATCAGTGATATTTTGTATCACAATACATTATCCACAGTGACTAAAAAAAAAAATATTTCCTTCATCCCAGGTTATTTCATTTCTGGCTGCAGTGTTGCATAAAAAGGGAACACGTGAGGATATTGAAAATAACATGCCAGAATTTTTACTAAGAAGTATGAAGAAGGAACTGCTTTCTTCTATAGCAAAAAAGGTAAAGTATATAGAAATATTCAACTCATGAAGCTGGAATTGCAGAGGCACAGAGGAACATTTAAACATCACACAACATACTATAAATTCTAAAACTAAGAATTTAAAAACATTAAAATATTTATTTCATAGACCTAATTTTTGAAGGATTACCAGTTTCATCCTCTAGTTAAATTTGATTGTCTCTCAGAATCGCAGAATATAATTTCAGCTTGAATTTATTTTGAGATTTAAATCTATTACTTGATTATATTTACATGATTTGCTCAGATTTATTTGTTAAGCTTCCATGAATGCATATATAAAGTTAATTGAAGTCTTCATTATGTTGTTTTTTTTTAATGCAAGAATGAAAAGGAGACAGTTATGGATATTGGTAATGAAAGTATGTCATTGATATTTAAAGTTGCTTAGGGGACTGATTATGTCTCAAAACTATGAAACAAATTCTCCCTATTCAAGGAAGCTGAAACTTGAAAGACTAAATATATGCTTGTCTCTGTCCATGTGACTGTGACTGCTATTCATATTCTTACTTCAGCTTTCTACTTCATAAGTATATATTTATAAATATACACAGTTATTACAAAAAATAAGATTTCTAATAAAGCAGTGCAATGCACAAAAAGTATATTATACTTCTGTGTCTTTTATATTATCCTCAGCATCCAGGAAACTGGATGAGAACAAGGATGAAGTGATTTTATGAGATCATTATTTTATTATGATAATGAACTACTTGCCACAAGTTTTAAAATAGCCTGTTTCATACAAATCTTATATACAAGATTACCGAGAAGTCCAAGTTTACTTTTATCTATTGTAAGGGCTGTTTGTAGGCAGAATTTTGAGAAGTATTGACTTAAGTTATTATAATTAAATTCTCTTACAATTTTTAATAGCATTAATGCATCTTGTCAGATTTGATTGGATCCTAAAAAGTATGGTGATTCATAATGTATGTAAGTATTGGAGATTTAAGTATTGCTTTTAGCCCTGGATTTAGTTCTTTTGTTCTAAATTTAGTGCAGGGTTTATGTATCTTTTGTGTGCTACTTGTGATAATTAACAGATGTGGGGGGGAGAAAAAAGGGAAGTGTAAAGTAATATTTTAAAATTTAAATATAATTAAAGATATTTAAAATATTTTAGAACAAGAATGGGAGGAGAGAAAAGAAAAGTACTTATTTGATGGTATGATAAAATATACTGATAGCTATCTCAGTTGTCATTAATGCCTCTTTTTCTTTCTTCTCTATGAATTTGTGTGTGTGTGTAAATTCCTTGCTATAATATATATTGCTATTATTCTGTCTTCTTTAGTTGACTTATTTATTGATTATGTTCAGCCTTTTTATATTCTAAAAAATTTTGTTAAAACTAAAATGTTCCTTTTTTTGGCGGGGGACAGTGCAGATAGTGGGGTTTGAACTAAGGGCCACTCAAAAACTGAGCCACATCCCCAGCCTTTTTTTGTATTTTATTTAGAGACAGGTTCTCACCGAGTTGCTTAGCACCTTGCTTTTGCTGAGACTGTCTTTGAACTCGAGATCCTCCTGCCTCAGCCTCTTGTGCTGCTAGGACTACAGGCGTGCACCACCATGCCTGGCTTAAAATGTTCCTTTGAGAACTGCTTCAGCTGCATTCCATAGATATTGATGTGATCTTTTCATTATTCTTTTCTAAATTATGTACAATTTATTTTTCTTCTCTTTTACCCAACTACTATTTTAAAGAGAAGTTTTTAAATTTCCAGGTGAATAATATTATTCCAGATGAATAATATAGCCTCAGTGTTTTCTCTGTGGTTAAATTCATGGTAAAGTGCCAGGTTTCTGTTAGCGACTAAAAGGCTCAGGGGTCACTCCATTTGAACTGGGCTAACTGGGCTGCGCAAAATAACCACACAAGAGACACAAATACCTTTTTCTTTGGATTCGCTGTGACAGCTCCTCTGACCTTAAGGGTCCACAGAAAGAGAGAGAGCGAGAGCACGCACTGACCCCTTTTATTGAGGAGAAACTATTCAAATGAGGCAAGGGGTCAGGTTTCAGGGGGCTGAGTCTATCTTCCTGATGTCCACTGTCAGCAGGTTGACTGACACCTGGGTAGGGCCACACCCAAGGGCACTGTAAGAGAAGGGGACACACACAAGGCACTTCCATGGAAGATTGTATCCTAAACAGGGCAAGGGGTTATATTACAAAGGAACAGGTGAGCATAGCTTCACCCATGGGGCTGTAGCAAGACACACCCATGCACGAGACATCGACCCTCGAACCCATAGTGAAGTGTTTTTAATGCTCTGATGTTGTACTTTGTGTAGTCTTTGTTTTCAAATGTCTACTTATGTCTTACATTCTTTGTTATTATGGTCATACAGTATTTGTATTTAATCACTTTGTTAATTGCATTAAAATTCTTGATGCTGTTTTGATTTTCTTTTTATTTATTTGAGGATTGAATCCTAACAGAAATATAATAAATTTTCCTGCTGTGACTTTGAGTTTGTTCATTTCTTTTTGTGTTTGTAATGGTTTTTGCTTGTTCAACATTGTCAATTCTTGTTTCATAATTCTTGTTTGTATATTGCTCTCACACTTAATTGGCAGTTTATTTGCATGTAGAAATCTAAGTTTAAAGTTTTATCTTGTGAGTTTACCAAGATAGTTTTATTATGTTCTGTTAATCCATATTGCATATGAAGGTTCAGTGCTGAACTGACTTGTTTTTCCTTGAAAAGGAAAATTTTTGAGGGTGTTGGGAGTGTTTAGGACTTTATCTTTGAAATTCAAACATTTTCCTTGTTCCTAACACTCACTGTAGAATTCTTCCAAATAAGTTCCACTTTAGAAAAATGTACCCAGTATTTTATGTAGGGGAAGCTGGGGACTGATTCTAAAATCAGCTTCTTTGGCAGATGATTGACAATCTGTACCTTCTTAAAGTCACTCAGCAGTTTCTTTTCTTGACCCTGAGCCTCAGCAGCTCTGTGTGGGTTTGTTTTGCTTCTTGTTTCAGATTCCTTTTAGGAAAAGTGCCTTTTCCTGCTCTTTCATAGATGCAGGATGGACTCCTCAGTTTATGCCAGTTCTTATCTGTTCCTGTACTGTTCAGATTTGCTGGTAGTGCCCCTCTAGGCACTGTATCACTATTAGAGATCTATTTTTATATTTGTTCTTTTGTTTTATTGGTGTCAGCACATACATGTGTTCAGTTAATCATTTGAACTGGAATTTAAAGTTTTTAATGAGCTCATCATTGACATCATATAGTATTTCCCAGAAATAAATACAAAGTTATGACTCTGATGAAATTCTGGAAACATCCGTCTGTATTGGTCCATTTAAAGCAATGTGTATTTTTGAAAGTTAGCTACAGAACAAATAAGTTTCTTTACACTTATTATGCTAATGCCAGAATTACAACAGAATCCTGAAAAATTAATATCAGAACTCTTTGAACCCCTTTTCCTTTTTAATGAATTGAATGTTACAAATTAAGGAGTGGTAGATTTAAGAATGTGTGCAGAATATGATACATCTCACATACATTTATAAACTTTTCAACTGAATAAATCATCAAAAATGCATGAAATAGATGTGCCAAGAATAAATTCCTAAAGGGAAAGACACGAACTATGCATTTCAAATACTGATCTTGGAAGGATTCTTTAGATTTAGGCTAAGTTTAGATTGTAGTTCAGTCTGTATGAAGATGAATCATAGTAAATTTATTTTAAAGTATTACTATCTTGTATGATAAAACTTTAGAGATTCTAAGTGAAATTCATAATACAGAGGAGGAGGTTATTTTTGGCATTTACAAAACCAGCATAAGCAGTAATATTAGTAAATGAACATAAATATTTTAATTATTTTATTTACTAAAAAGAATTTCTTTCGTCCCTGTTACTAGCAAGAAGATTATGTTGCAAACAAAGCCACTATGAACATCCTTATGCATTTATCTTGGCAAATTGTATAGTTTTAACTGTTGGATAAATTCTTGGTACTGCAGTTGTATTATAGGTACTACTGGAATTGTAGAAAACTTACTTACAAGGGCTCAGGTGGAATTTGGACCTAATATTTTCATATTGTAATATCCAAAATTAGAAGAAGATCTACAAGTGGATTTAGTATTTGGAACCCTGAGTTTATATTTGAAAGTAGGAGAAAAATGGAATCATAGGATAAACTCCAAAGGGTAAAAGTATTTTAAATGAACCGACTATGACAAGAAAGTGCTCATATATGTTTCATGATGGGATGGGGAAAGGAACTCTCACATTCAGGAGGTTAGTCGTCTTCTCTTTCCAAAACATAGTCACAGATTTGACTTCTTACAGGTGATTAATGACTTAGATGAAATGTTGCACAGAAGAGAGGGCAGTATGTAAAGCAGTATGTTATTATTTTATTTTCAGTATGTTTAATCGGGTCATCTATCAAGTAAAGTTTCTTTAGGAAAGAAACTGATAATTCTGGTAAATATAGCAGGTTAGGAATATTGGTAATAGTGAGACTATTAAAAGTTAAACCTTAAAATTTTCTGAAGACAGCAGTATTCAGAGTAAGTACAGGAAATATCAGTAGAATGCTAAAGCATTCATGTGAAAAATAAATATGTTAGTAATCTTAAAAAGGACTGTTTTTGCTGAAGGTTGTGCTAGTTAGCTTTCTGTCACTGTGACAGAATAATTGAGATAAATGTTGTATAAGAAGAAAAGCTTTAATCTGACTCACAGTTTTGGAGATTTCAGTCCATGGTCATTTGGTTCATAAATTATGAGCCTATGATAAGCCGTTGGAGAGCATACCAGAGGAAGCTGCTTATGTCATCATGGTTGGGAAATGAAAGAGAAAGAAAGGAATTGGGGGCAGAGTCCCAATATCTTCTCCACATCCCCAATGGCCTAAGGTCCTCTCAGTAGGCTCTACCCCCTAATAGCTCCATGTGCTGGGGACAAATTCCTTAACACATGGGCCCTTGGGGGACATTCCATTTCTAGAGTATAGCAGAGGGTTAGGAAAGATGTCCTATTTGCATGACTTCAAGAAGGAGCAGGAGGACAGTTGAGATAATAAGCATCTTGAAAAATCATTGCTATAGAGTAAAGTAATGGAGCAGTAGCTAGAGAGAGATATAGGGTTGAGAAAGGATTTTGTTTTGTTTCTTTGTAGAGCTTGTTTCTTGAATTCTGGGAAATATTATGTTTGCCCATAGATGTGGTCTACTGAAAATAAAAAGTTAGTTCTTTAGGCCATTTCTGCAACATTAACTGTAGGTTACAAGAAAAGATGGATGGGAGCCACAGGGTTAAGTTCAAAGGTTGTCTTGAAGATGTGAACAGCTCATGCATGGGCACAGGTGGGAAGGCAGGACATATGGAAGTATGTAGTTAGGCTACTTACAACATGGTATGAGAGGTGGAGGTTTCCTTCTAATTGCTTCAGTTTTCCCAGTGAATTTTCCGTGTCCTCAACTAAGAGTTTCTGAGAGGGAGGGATAGATGAAATGGGCTTAGAAATTGAAGAGGGAAGAGAGTTCTAGAAGACCACATATTTCAAGAGAGGTGACTGGCCTATCTTGTATACTCACAGTATTCTCTTGGCTCTTGAAGTTATTACTGGCTTCCTGATTCACTCTTTGGGGAGCTGTTTCTCTCATCTTTCAGTGCCTTTTATGAGTGGGAAAAAAACCCCAGCTGTTCCTTTGGACAAGATTGGGCACCTATTTTGTTCTAATAAGACCTATTTAAGGAGTGAAGTTGTAGCTTAGTGGTAGAGTGCTCGTCTAGCACGTGCGAGGCCCTGGGTTCGATACTCAGCACCTCATAAAAATAAATAAATAAGTAAAATAAAGATAAGAAAAATATATCCTAAAAAAAAAAAAAAGATCTATTTAAGCCACAAAATAGTTAGCCTTTAAGGGTCTTCTATGGCCAAATACAGCCAATCGCTCAGTTGTATTTATTATTCGCTAGTGTCGAAATTAAATCAAAGGATTGTAGATATTTTGGACTTCACTTTTTTGGCATTATTTTTCATTTTTAAAAAACACCCAATGTATTTTTCCTCTCCTTTTAGATGTTCTTAATAGTTGCTCCTCTTTCTGTCCTCTACAACTGGAAGGATGAATTGGATACCTGGGGATATTTCAGAGTCACTGTTTTACACGGTAACAAAAAAGACAATGAACTGCTTCGTATAAAGCAGAGGAAATGCGAAATTGCTCTAACAACTTATGAAACACTGCGCTTGTGTCTGGATGAACTTAACAGGTAGGGGTGTAATGGGAATGATTGCATTAACATTCTACTGGCATCAATTATATTTATCCCTTTGAATTATGATTTTTAGAAGCTCTATGTCTTTAGCTTCTTAATTTTACTTTACATTTATTAAAATATGTAGTTTATAAGAACTTATTTTCTGCGAATAGAAAACCTCCATCAGGGTTTCCACTTACATGTTTCCTAAATTTAGCCCAGGATGTCTGCTGAGATTCTCAAGACTTGTTGTAAGGCTTGTTTACAATCTTGTGCATATGGTGCCTCTGTACTGTGACAGAATCCAGAGTTCATGAATGATTTTAATTATGGGAGTCTGCTGGGAATGGAGAGTGGTAAAAAGCATGTGCAAACACACACACACACACACACACACACACACACACAGGTTGAGAAGTACTATGGCCTAAGTTGTAAAAGGGATGTGGCCAGGAGACAACACAGTGGGTAAGCAGGAACATATCATGAAGAGTACTGAAAACCACTTAAGAGGATTCTGGTCTATATCTTTAGAGCAAGAGAGTGCTCTGGAGTGCTTTAGCGTGTTCAGGATGATACAAATGATCAGATTTGTATTTTTGGTATTCTGGCTGCTGTGTATGCAAACAGGAGAGCTGGGTTGAAAGAGAAAGACTAGTTTGGAAGTTTGGCTGAATAACGCCTCTACCCCAAATCCACATGACAGGTCCCAGCCACAGTAATTAAGAATGCAATTGTATTTAAAGGTGGGTCTTTAATGAGTTGATTAAGTAGAAATTAGGTTGGGTGGGGCTGTAACCTAATGGGAATGATGACCTGGTAAGAAGAGAAACTGACACCAAGCACATGCATGCAAGAGGAAAGCACACCTAGAATGAAGGTAATCATCTGCAAGCCAAGGAGAGAGGGCTCAGAAGACACCCAAACCTGCTAACACCTTGATCTTGGGATCTCTAGCTTTCAGGATTGTGGGAAATTTTCTCTTGTTTAACTCACCCAGTCTGTGATATTTTATTTTGGCAAGGCTTTTATAATAGTCTGGCCAAGGGAACATAGTAGTCAGGTCTAAACTCTTCATAGTTGTGCCAGCAACAGCTTGAGCCTTGGTAAAATTGTTAACTTTGATCTGCTGCTAGCTAAGATGTCTGTCTGCCTGTTAGGATACAGTTTATACCTAGTATGGCATTAGAAAAAGTTCTTGAATATCTTTAAATTGCTAAAACAGTATATATTCAATTATTGTCAGTGAAAGAGTTAATGGCAGAAAACCATGTTATTTTTAAAGGTGATGCTTTCAAATCAAAATATAAATGCTTTGACATAAGATAAAAATGAATAAAAACAACAATCAGTAGTTGTTACATTAATTTTGTAAGCATAAAATATATTTAAAATTACAAAAGCCACTAATTAACTATGTAACTTTTAGTAAATCAACTCATCTGGAAAAATGACAAGGTGAATCCAAAACTGACTGTTCAAACCCATCTGGAAAATTTTATTAGATTCAACTTTAATAAGCACTAATTTGGTACAAAATACTTAATACTGATTATAAGTATGGTTAGCCCTTCATACCTGGAAGTTCTATATCTGGGAATTTAACCAACTGCAGATTGAAAATAAAAAATAATGCATCTATACTGAACTTGTACAGGCTTTTTTTCCTCCTTACATTATTCCCTAAACAATTCAATATAACCATTATTTCCATATCATTTACATTGTATTAGTTATAAGTAATATAGAGGTGATTTAAGGTATATGGAAGGATGTGCATTAGGTTTTATGCAAATACTGTGCCATTCTATATGAGCCACTTGAGCATCCATGGATTTGTCCCCTGGACCCATCCCCTGCAGACACCAAGGGACAGCTATATATAGTTTGATGAATCTTGCCTAAGAACTGGCAAACTTTTGCTCTCAAGTACCAGATATTTGGGACCAGGTACAGCAACTCAGGAAGCTAAAGCAAGAGTTCAAAGCTAGCCTCAGCAATTTAGCCAGGCCCTAAGCAATTAAGCAAGACCCTGCCTCAAAATTTAAAAAAAAGGGCTGGGAATGTGACTCAGTGGTTAAGTGCCTGTGGGTTGATTCCACAGTACCAAACCAAGCCAAACCAACCAACCAAACAAAAACCCCAGATAATTTTGAGGGCCACGTAAAGTATCTGTCAAGTATTATTCTTTTTAATTTTTATAACCCTTCAAATATATAAAAATTATTCTTAGCTTGCTAACTATACAAAATTGGTCACAAACTAGATTTGGCCCTTGGATTGTAGTTGACTGACCTCTGCTTTTGACAAATGGAAACTTGAACTCAACTATCATTTTAAACAAAGTCTAACATTTTTTTATAGTCTCCAGACTTTTCTCTTTATTGTCATTCCTTCTCTAATCTTTACCCATTGATTTTGATTTCTGTCACTACAGATGAGAAAATAAAATTAGAAAGTACTCTTCATTTGTTTCTGACATCTTTTGCTGAGCATGTTTGAGAGTCATCCATGTTATTGAGTATATCAGTGATTGTTGGGTTTTTTAAAAATATTTATTTATTTATTTAGTGGTGCTGGGGATTGAACCCAGGGCCTTGTAAATGCAAGACAAGCACTACCAACTGAGCTATATCCCCAGTCCTCAGTGATTGTTTTTTTCAAATGTTGATTTGTGTTTCATTTTATAAGTATACCACATTTTGTTACCTATTCACTTGAGGATGTCTATTTGGGTTTTTCTAGTTTGAAATTATTATAAATAAAATTTCAAGAAATATTTGTTTTTAAGCCTTTTTTCTAAACTATAATATTTTCATTTCTTTTGGGTAAATACCTGGGAGTAGAATTTCTGAGTTTCAGGGTAAGAGAAGGTTTAACTTTAGAAAAAACTGCCAAATCATTTTCTAGAATGGTCCTACCATTCTACCTTAGAGAGAGTTCAGTTGCTGCACATCCTCACCAGTGTTTGCATTGTCAGCCTTTGTTTTTAACCATTTTAGTGAGTATATAATAGTATCTTGTATTGTAATTTGCGTGTTTCTGATCCACACACACTTAAAAAGTCTATTCTACAGTTGTTGAGTATAGTGTTCTATACATATTAAGAAGACTTGGTTAAGGCATTATTCAAGTGTTCTCCATCTTTACTGATTTTCTTTGACTTGGTTCATAGTTTCTGAGAGAGAAGTGTTGAGATCAAAGCCTGATTCCTCCTTTCAGTCTGCAGCTTTCATGTAGTTTTGGAGCTATATTATTAGGCACAAGTGCAATTACTGTTATTTTTTTTTCTGATGAATTATTCCTTGTATTTAAAAGTGTTTCTTTTTATTTCTAATAATATTTCTTGTCTTTGATATTAGCATCTGTAACAATAGATTCTTCTTATGCTTATTGTATGTATATAGTTTTCCATCTTTTATTTCACATTTCTTTTTTATATTTGAAGTGAATCTCTTTATAGTTAGCATATAGCTTTTTAAATCCATTCTGATAATCTTTGCCTTTTATTCGGGGTATTTAGACCATTCATACTTAATGTAATTATTGGTAAAGTTGGGTTTAGAACACCATTTTTTCCAGGTCTTATTAGCCCTTAGGGTTAATAAGTTAGCATGTTACTGTTTCATGGATGCTGGCCTAAGACAGGTAATTAAAAGCTTGGAGTAAAGCTGGGCATGGTGGCACACGCCTATAATCCCAGCAGCTCAGGAGGCTGAGACAGGACTAGAGTTCAAAGCCAGCCTCAACAACAGTGAGGCACTAAGCAACTCAGTGAGACCCTGTCTCTAAATAAAGTACAAAAAAGATCTGGGAATGTGGCTCAGTGGTCAAGTGCCCCTGAGTTCAATCCCTGGTACACACCCACCACCTACAAAAATAAGCATGGAGTGATTAAGTATGTTGTCCAAGTCTACGTAATGAAGTTAGTCATGGACATGAGATTTACACATTGACCATGTGTGGGTTTTTAACAAGCAAACTGTACCCCCCAAGAGACTTAATACAGTTAGGTGAATGCGATAAGTTGATTTATGATAGCACCATTCATATTTTCATTATTCTTTACCTGCTTATGCCTTTAGACTATAAGCTCTTTAATATAGATTTTACTTTTAATTTTATATTTTGGTGCTTATTACATTTTTGGCACATATTAGTTACTGAAGAAATATTTGTTAATTGGTTATTTTCTATGACTGCTATAAATATTAAAGAATTCTGAGAATTATGTAACTACTAATTATTTATTTATATGATTAGTAGAATCAAAATATTACAATATTTGTTTATTTATTTTGTTGTATTCATTCGTTCAGATGTCTTTATTTTGATAGTTTTTTTCAAAGAATAATATTTCATCTGACTAAATATTATTGCTGTGATAATAATACTCTGTACATTTATCATAGATAATCCAAAGGGTAGAAAAGCATACTATAGAGTATGAGAAAACTATATGTTTTTCTTATTCTATTTTTTTTACTTTATTTTAATCTTTATCAAAGTTATATATGCATCTTATTTGAAGGCCAAATATGATAAAAGAGTTGTAGGAAGAGCTGCAGTTTATTCCATCTACCCCTAAACTCCTTACCTGTACCTTCAGCTCATACTAATTGTCTTATTTTTTACATCTATGATTATACTATAACTTTAAAATTTTCTTCAGATTTCAATAATATCTTAAAGAAAATGAAGACTGCTGTGTTTTGCTTTTCATTTCTTCACCTTGGAGTAACCTAGTCCGACTATTCTGTGGAGTGGGAATTGGTCTCTAGGAGATTTCAGCTACATCTTGAACAGACTGCTGAGCATTTCCTCACTCTAGTTTCCAAAGGCATCTGGTGCCACCAAGTCCTGGCCTTTTAAGACCTAAATGTATAAATCAGATTGCTTCTTGGCTTTCTCCACTGTTGCCTTATGATACTGCTTTTTCAAGTCATCTTATCCATCTTTCCAACTTCGAGAGTTTTGTGGCTGTTTTCTCTCTTCCTCTTTGTTCTTGAAGGCTTTTTCAGTTTTGAATTAAGAACATTTATATACTTACCCCTTAGATTCATCAGTTCTTTATATTCTCTGTCTGTGTACACTAGTGGTATTGAATCATTTCAGTAAGTTGCATATAGCATGAGAACTTTTATCTGCAAATATTTTATCATTGGTCTCACACATAAGAAAATTAATAACAGAAAAAATGTACTTAGTTATCCTCAAAATATCTTTATTATCTAATGTTTGTAAAGCAAGATTTAATAAAGCTTCAGATAATGAATCTGGTTACTCAGTCTTTTTAGTCTCTCCTAATCTATTGTAAGTCATCTTATCCATCTTTCCAACTCTTTTTTTTTTTTTTCATGATGTGACCCTTTGAGGGGACCAAGCCAGTTGTTCTTAGGATGTCTCATATATTAGATTTGTCTGATTGCTTTCTTAAGAAATTGCTTTCTGCCGGGCTTGGTGGCGCATGCCTGTAATCCCAGTGGCTCTGGAGGCTGAGGCAGGAGGATCATGAGTTCAAAGCCAGCCTCAGCAAGGGCAAGGCACTAAGCAACTCAGTGAGACCCTATCTCTAAATAAAATACAAAATAAGGTCAGGGACGTGGCTCAGTGGTCCAGTGCCCCTGAGTTCAATCCCCAGTAACAAAACAAACAAACAAACAAAAATTGCTTTCCTCTACCATCTGATTTCTTGAGTAAACTGATTCTAGCCTAAGGTCTTAATTAGATTCATGTTTTTGGGCAAGATTGCTTCATGAGCAATGCTGTAGACTTCACATCATTGCACTTCAGGGCCTGTTCCTGTCAGGCTCTTGCACTGTTAAAGACACCAGGCCTGTCCCAGACCCTTCCACTGTAAAGGTGTTTCTCTTATAATGAGCAAATAATTTGTGAGGTGATATTTTACTACCATTTAAGTATTCTCTCAGCCTTTTTACTTAGAAGTATTAACGTATTCAAATTCTTGCCTGTATTATTTATTTTATTGGGTTTTACATTGTTTTTCTATTTTCTTCTGTACTTACTAATAGTATTTTCCTGTAAAGAAAAGCATTTCTCATTAATTAGGAATTAAGTACAATTTTGACCTTAAAGTGGCAAAGTGAGTGTGTACTTCTTTTGCATCCCTAATTTGGGGAGTAAGCAGTTATCATAACGGTTGTCTCCAACACAGTTTCTCACTGCTCAGCCCTTTTCCCTCTCAAGAAGAAGTTAGGCAAAATGTCTTTCACCCACCTTTTAATCGGTTTGCTTTCTATTGTGTTGAGTTGTAATAGTTCTTTATGTATTCCATATTCAAGTCTTTTATCCAACTAGGATTTGTTAAAGTCCAACTTATCAGTTTTTAAGAAATTTTCTTGCTGTCATATCTAAAAAGTTTGTGTCTAACCCTGAATCATGAAGATTTTTTTTGTGTCTTGTGAACTTTATAATTTTACTTCATATTTAACTCTATCATCCATTTTGAATTAATTTTTAGCATAAGGTGAGGAAAGGGTCAAAATTTTTTCATTGAACTCCTAACTTTTATTTATTCAGGGCTTTCTACTCAATTATAGCTATTATTCTTGATGCTTCAGTATTCCAGTTAGGCTGGCTCTTGTGTCCTTTGGACATGTCATTTGTCTTTGAATACATCTGGGTTTTCTAACTCTTAAGCATTTCCCCTGTTCAGTGCCTAAAATTGACCATTCTCCATTTTCCACAGGACTCTGTTTCTTGTTTGTAGATTAACCACAATGCATGCTCATTGCTACTGTAGTAACCAATGGTAATACACTTTTTCAGTAAGCAGAGTAACATATTGCAGCTTTTAAAAAATCCTGAGTTTATATTGTTGTCTTCTCATGCAGATTTAATGTTGCAAAGTTTTCTTTTATTCTTGTTTCCAGTTTGCTGCTTTAAAAAAATTTGTTGTCATTTAGTGATGTTTAAATTTGTTTTTTCATTTCAGTGTTATTTTAAAAAAAATTTTTTAATATTTATTTTTTAGTTTTCGGTGGACACAATATCTTTATTTTATTTTTATGTGGTGCTGAGGATCGAACCTAGCACCCCACTACCCTACCGCTTGAGCCACATCCCCAGCCCACATTCCACTGTTTTTGTTTTTGTTTTTAAGAGAGGGGGAGAGAGAGGGAGAGGGAGAGGGAGAGGGGGAGAGAGAGAGAGAGAGAGAGAGAGAGAGAGAGAATTTTTTAATGTTTATTTTTCAGTTCTCGGCGGACACAACATCTTTTTGTTTTTTGTATGTGGTGCTGAGGAATGAACCCGGGCCGCACGCATGCCAGGCCAGCACGCTACCGCTTGAGCCACATCCCCAGCCCCCAGCATTCCACTGTTATTAAGCATAATCTCTGTACCCTTTTATATTCTTCATGCACATTTTATTCTTATACCCTATTTCAGCCTGTAACAACTTAACTAGGTAAGAATACAATGAAATAGCCAAAGAATAAATAATGATGGGGGCTACAAAACTTCGGTAGGGAAAACTGTTCTCTAAAAATTCTAGTTTTCGCAGTGTTTCCTGATTTTACTCTTACTTTATAGTTTGGAGTGGTCAGCTATCATTGTGGATGAGGCTCATAGAATCAAGAATCCAAAGGCGAGAGTAACAGAAGTAATGAAAGCGCTCAAGTGTAATGTTCGCATTGGCCTCACTGGAACCATTCTTCAGAACAACATGAAGGAACTGTGGTGTGTTATGGACTGGTGAGTGAAAAAACTGTTTAGGAAAAACAATTATTGAGTACTTTTTTCCCTTAACACTCTCTTGTTAGCTAATTGTTAGTTTTAGGAAACAAAAACCAAAAGATTAGTCATTTTACTGCAGAATTATTTGATCCTAAACATGGTATATAGAGAATCCCATGCAAACCTACCTTTACATGTTATTCTTGGCACTGTGTAAGTATAGCTAACTTACCAATGCCGTCATTATCTTTTTATAAACTGAAACCGTTATCAAAGAAGAACACTTTTTTCTTGGCTTTTGTTTTTGTTGTCTTATAAACAAGTGGATGAAGATATTTTTTAGATGCAAAAATAAGTGAATGTTTTTCTTTTTAGATGACTTAATAAAATGTCACATTTTTTTCTCATTGCTTTACTGTAGGGCTGTGCCAGGACTTTTAGGTAGCAGGATCCACTTCAAGAAGCAGTTTTCTGACCCAGTAGAACATGGTCAGAGACACACAGCAACAAAAAGAGAACTAGCTACTGGCCGAAAGGCCATGCAAAGGCTTGCAGAAAAGATGTCTGGCTGGTTTCTCAGGCGAACCAAGACTTTCATCAAGGATCAGTTGCCTAAGAAGGAAGATCGGGTAAGAGCTTGTGTATATTATTATTTTTGTGTATATTATTAAATTCTTGTCATTTTTTTTCCTGAAAATTTTTCTTTCCTAGAGGAAGTCTGTCTTCTATGGTATTTTGTGAATATAATTTTGTGCCTTTTATTCTTTGTGGAAAAAAATTATTATGTGTGGAATTTCAGAAAACATTAATTGAGCTCAGTTGTTTTCCTTCCTAGTTTTACTAATCTGTGAGCTAACAGGTTTGAAGTTAATAAATGTATTAATCATGTTTCTGCTGCTATGAAACACTTGAGATAAATCAACTTAAAAGGAGGAAAGATTTATTTTGGCTCATGGTTTCAGAGGTTTCAGTCCATGTTTGCTTAGCCTTGTTGCTTTGGGCTGGAGGCAACAACATTCTGGCTTGAGTATGTGGTGGAACAAAGCTGCTCATGTCATGACATCTGGGAAGGAAAAAGAAAGATAGGAAGAAGCGGAGGGTCCAGTATTTCCTTCAAGGGCAAGACCCCAGCGACCCAGCTTCCTTTCACTGGACCCCACTTCCTAAAGGTTCCAGTAGTACCACCAAACCAAGCCTGTAGCATAGGGGCCTTGGAGGAAAAAGTATGATCCAAATCATAAAATTAATTAAATTCACTTCTTATCAAGGCCCATGAGACAATTCTTTTTTTTTTTTTATTTTTTTTATTGGTTGTTCAAAACATTACAAAGCTCTTGACATATCATATTTTATACATTTGATTCAAGTGGGTTACGAACTCCCATTTTTACCCCGTATACAGATTGCAGAATCACATCGGTTACACATCCACGTTTTTACATATTGCCATTACTAGTGACTGTTGTGTTCTGCTACCTTTCCTATCCTCTACTATCCCCCCTCCCCTCCCCTCCCATCTTCTCTCTCTACCCCATCTACTGTAATTCATTTCTCTCCCTTGTTTTTTTTTTTCCCTTTCCCCTCACATCCTCTTATATGTAATTTTGTATAACAATGAAGGTCTCCTTCCATTTCCATGCAATTTCCCTTCTCTCTCCCTTTCCCTCCCACCTCTCGTCCCTGTTTAATGATAATCTTTTTCTCATGCTCTTCCTCCCTGCTCTGTTCTTAGTTGTTCTCCTTATATCAAAGAAGACATTTGTTTTTTAGGGATTGGCTAGCTTCACTTAGCATAATCTGCTCTAATGCCATCCATTTCCCTGCAAATGCCATGATTTTATCATTTTTTAGTGCTGAGTAATACTCCATTGTGGATAAATGCCACATTTTTTTTATCCATTCATCTATTGAAGGGCATCTAGGTTGGTTCCACAGTCTAGCAATTGTGAATTGTGCTGCTATGAACATTGATGTAGCAGTATCCCTATAGTACACTCTTTTAAGGTCTTCAGGGAATAGTCCGAGAAGGGCAATAGCTGGGTCAAATGGTGGTTCCATTCCCAGCTTTCCCAGGAATGTCCATACTGCTTTCCAAATTGGCCGCACCAATTTGCAGTCCCACCAACAATGTACAAGTGTACCCTTTTCCCCACATCCTCGCCAGCACTTGTTATTGTTTGACTTCATAATGGCTGCCAATCTAACTGGAGTGAGATGGTATCTTAGGGTGGTTTTGATTTGCATTTCTCTGATTGCTAGAGATGGTGAGCATTTTTTCATGTACTTGTTGATTGATTGTATGTCCTCCTCTGAGAAGTGTCTGTTCAGGTCCTTGGCCCATTTGTTGATTGGGTTATTTGTTTTCTTATTGTTTAATTTTTTAAGTTCTTTGTTTACTCTGGATATTAGGGCTCTATCTGAAGTGTGAGGAGTAAAGATTTGTTCCCAGGATGTAGGCTCCCTATTTACCTCTCTTATTGTTTCTCTTGCTGAGAAAAAAACTTTTTAGTTTGAGTAAGTCCCATTTGTTGATTCTTGTTTTTAACTCTTGTGCTATGGGTGTCCTATTGAGGAATTTGGAGCCCGCCCCCACAATATGTAAATCGGAGCCAACTTTTTCTTCTATCAGACACAGAGTCTCTGATTTGATATCAAGCTCCTTGATCCATTTTGAGTTAACTTTTGTGCATGGGGAGAGAAAGGGATTCAGTTTCATTTTGTTGCATATGGATTTCCAGTTTTCCCAGCACCATTTGTTGAAGATGCTATCCTTCCTCCATTGCATACTTTTAGCCCCTTTATCGAATATAAGATAGTTGTAATTTTGTGGATTGGTCTCTGTGTCCTCTATTCTGTACCATTGGTCTACCCGCCTGTTTTGGTACCAGTACCATGCTGTTTTTGTTACTATTGCCATGAGACAATTCTTAAAGGAAGTTAGATGAGCCTCTCTCCCTAATGTATTTTCTGTTCACACTCTGTCTTCCCCGTACTGTCTACTTTCTACCACGCCATGTATTGGTACCTTAATTCTAACTATAGGACCAAGATGGTTAAGGGCTTTATTTCTAGGTTTGTTTTATGTAGAATGATATTGGCAATTATATTATCTAATTTTTTATAAATTTTAATGTGAGAAAATTACATTATTAAATTTTTAAAGAAATTTTCAGTTGACTTTTAAGAGAAATTTAAAAAAATATAGTAGTCTTTTATAGTTTTTGGTCTTGTCAATCTTTTAGCTCAGACAATGGAATGAAGATTCTATAAATTACTATGAACTAAACTTCGTTAGTATTCTCCCAAATAAGGGTAACACCATCAAATGCCCTCTAATCTTAGGATATCCTGTTTAGTATTACTTTTAAAAGATAGACTTACAAAGAAAATCCAACACTGATATGCAAGATGGGGAAATTGACACAGTATGTGACTTTTGATATTCATCTAAAGCAAAAATTATTCTTGTATTTAGATATTTCACAATCTCCTCACTTTAAAAAATATTTTATATAATTGTATGTTATTTAGTTATCCATCTAGTAGGAACAATGAAATCATAAATATATGAAGAGAGAATTGTGTGTAGAGGTTTCAAACTTGGGCTCCAAAATCAGATGCTACAGCTTAAATTGGCTTCCCCACTTAAGAGTTTTGTGCCGAGGTTCTCAAACTTGGATTTTTTCATTTGTTAAATGGAAATAATGATAAGCCAACCTCATATGGTTGCTCTAAAGTGCGTGGTGCAGAAGAAATGTTTAGTAAATATTACTGTGTTTAATAATAACAACTCAGAAAAACCTTCATATTGCAATTATTGACCATGGTCTTCTGTATTCTCTTTTTGTTCTTATATATACTTTTATATTCAACACTGGGGAGTCAAGATATGCTTAATATTATACATATATTTATTAAAAACCTAGCATTGTTTCCTGTTTGCTCAATGTCATGTCATTTTTCTACAATATTATTCTGTGGTGTTGATATACACATAAATATTCATAAACAGCTTTTCCTTTTTGCTCATATTCCTCAAAGTCCTATTATGAATGTGTGTATAAATGTATGTATGTTTAGTTTATGAATCTAGTAACACATAGCTGCATCTAGAAGAATTTTGACAATCTCTGGTGCTACCAGAAATATGAGGTAAATTATATCCCTCATAACCTAATGACATAGTTTCATCATATTTTCTTGAATTTGGGCACAAAATAGCAATGTATATTTGCTTTTATATACATTTACTTAACTCTTTGTCTTTCCTAATCTTAAAAGTTTATATCATGATATTAAATACAAATAATGATGTTTTCAGTTTCCAGTAATATGAAGTTTTAAATTTTTTTAAGGTTTCCAATTATTTAGTAGTCATTTATTATTCATACTTTTTAAATGAAATCTTTTATTTCCTTAGCAAGTTTTTTTTTGTTTGACCTAAATTGTAATAATTTATTTGTATGATGGATTAATATATAACCTTGAAAAGACTCACAGTATATTGAAAAATACATAAGGAAATCATGTAACTTGATTTTCATGTTATATTTCCTTTTAATTGAAAGCCAAGAAATTCTGTGAGGTTTATTTGAAAATGAAATTATGATTTGGTAGCAAAGAGTTTAAGAGAATTGGGAAAAAATTTCATAATGAGGGAAACTACAGGGGAAAATTAATCATCAGTTTTCACAAATTCACTAATATAATTTGTGAATTCTATATGCATTGTATTTATTATTATTGCTATTAAAATGATACTAATACTCGACTTGTATTTTTTCTTGGCAGATGGTTTATTGCTCTCTGACGGATTTCCAGAAAGCTGTCTATCAAACAGTGTTAGAAACAGAAGATGTCACTCTGATACTTCAATCTTCTATGCCTTGTACCTGCAGCAGTGGCCGGAAAAGGAGAAATTGTTGTTATAAGGTAAGCAATTCAGCGTGTCTTTACCATCTTGCCTTATCATCTTGTATTCTGTGTTAGTGCCAAAGTAAGTAGTAGATAAACAAAATGACTTTTCCTCAGATAGTTTTTTAACTTTGGAAAGAAGTTATAAGTTTTAAAGAGAGAAAAGTTTTCAAAAATGGTTTATAATATCAAATAGTTACCACGTATAAAATACAATATTTAAGCATTTTGAAAAATTAATTTTAGATGCTTCAATTTGATATCCTCTCTTTTAGCTTTTGCTGGAAAGTAGGCCACTTTTATCATGAAATTTCATTTAAAGTATAAATTAGCAAGGTGCAGTGGTGCATGCCTGTAATCCCAGTGGCTTGGAAGGTAGGAGAATCGAGAGTTCAAAGCCAGCCTCAGCACCACCAAGGCACTAAGCTATTCAGTGAGATCCTGTCTTCTAAATAAAATACAAAAAGGGCAGGGGATGTGGCTCAGTGGTTGAGTACCCCTGAATTTAATCCCCAGTACCCCCACAAAAGTATAAATTAGTATAAATATTAGAATTAATTTTGTCATTATCCACTAGTGGTAAAATGATTTACTCCTTAATGACAGTCTTAAATACTATTCAGATATATATATATATATAATTATATTTATAATCATCTACTTCAGTAGTTTCAATTGTGTCTTAAATACTATTCAGATGTTAGACATAGTGTCAGTTTAATAGAAACTATATCAGTAGAATAAAAGTTTCTTTAGAAACAAATTTCATTTGTACTTTTTTTCCTTACCATCTATATTTCCTGTTCTTTCTTTGCCTATTTTATGTCACATATCCATATACATATAAGAACCCTAAATAAATATTTAAGTAGATGGATATTTATTTCATCTCATCTACTTTACTATTTTAACTACTTCCCCTTTTTGAAATAGCTCAGTTTCCTGGAAAATGTTGAAACATAAATTGTAGAATAAAGAGGTCTATGTAGTGCTGTAACTATGTCATAGCTTTGTCACCAGGAAACTTTTAATAGCAGCAACATTTCTATTACTGTGTATTACAAGGATAAATATGCTCCAAAATGAGGATTTAAAAAGCATTATTATATTATGATTCACCAAAAATGATTCCATGTTATTGATTCATAGATATTTTGTATATAGTTGACCATCATTTTCTTAGAATTCATTGTGCCAAAGTAACTAGATAATAAATATTGTGAGATATTTTTTGACGTAAGCAGTTACATACCCGTGTAAGTTCTTTTCTTGTTTTTAATTTCTATATTTTTCTGGTTACAGACCAATTCCCGTGGTGAAACGGTACAAACCTTGTGTCTCAGTTACCTCGCAGTCCTTCAGAAGGTGGCTAATCATGTCGCACTGTTGCAAGCTGCCAGTACCTCCAAACAACAGGTGTGGGTTGGCTTTTTACATTTTTTATGATACTATTGGTATAAAAGTGATATTGCTATTGATATAAATTGGTATTTAGTATAAAATTTCTTAGCTAAATATTCCTAAGGTGTTTTTTTGTATGTGTGTCTGTGAAGTTTAAAAGAAAACTGAGTTACTCATTTTAAAATTTAGGTGGCTGGGGATGCAGCTCACTGTTAGAACTCATGCCTAGCATGCATGAGGCCCTGGGTTCCGTCCCCAGTTCCAAAACAATAATAAAAAATAAAATGTTAATATTAAGAAGCATGTACACTTAAACTTTTAATCAAACTGAGAACATTTAAACTTAAAAACTTTTTTATGCTTCTTGGGCTGGGGCTGGGGCTCAGTGGTAGTGCGCTTGCCTAGCACATGGGAGGCCCAGGGTTTAATCCTCAGCACCACATATAAATGAATGAATGAATGAATGAATGAATGAATGTATTGTGTCCAACTACAACTAAAAAAAAAATAAATAAGTGTTTTGTTTTAAAAAAACTTTTTTATGCTTCTAATAATGCTCATTTATTCTCCCTAATATACTTTGGTATAATTACTAAGTAAGATATTTGATCAGGCTATCCCATTAATAAAATATCTACTTATATTTATCTACTCTGGGTAAAAGTAGGATAACTAATATGCATATTAAATATTAGGACTTTTTCCTAAAGTGGAAAAAATCAGTAATTTCAGAGTTTAGTGTTAAATATAATCATCTACTTTGGTAGTTTCAATTGTGTCTTATCCTAGAGCATAACATAAATAAAAAGATCTTTTCAAAAGCCTTTTATGTAATGATTTTATTTTATTTTCATGTTATTGTTGATGTTGTTTAAATTTAATTTTTAAATTTTGAATTTAATATTATTCTTTGATAGTACTGTTATGGGGAGCCACTTCAGAAATACTCTAAGTTCAAATTGAAATCAAAGGGGGATTTATTTACCTGGCCTGAGACTGTCACCCACCCATACAGACTGAAATATATGGAAGAGCAGCAACCACTTGGTCTGTGTCTTGGAATTTAAGGATGAAAACCGAAGCTCAGGGACTTTCCTTAGTATCATGCAAGCAAACCAGTTGTAGAAGCTAAGGCAGCAATTAGCACAGGAACTCAAGACAGTCACATCTTGGGTTTGAGCAGGTGTTAGTCAACCATATCCTGAGTTCGGGCAGGTGGTTAATGGAGGCAAGAATCTACTTCAAAGTCCTGGGTCACTAAGACCATCATATTCTGGGTTGAGTACATTTTGTGGGGTATAAAGTACAGCAAACAATATATTGTAAGAAAACAGCTTTCATTTCAGTCAGAAATAGCTCTTGTAATAGTTTTTTTTTTTTTTTTTTAATAGAAAACAGCAAAATGGAGTCTTAGGCCTGCCTATGGCCGTTCTTGCTTTATAATTGACTTATCTCACTTATCAAAATCTTATATCTATAATCTATATTTTTTACTAGCCTATAACCTATAACTTACACTCTTATTGATTGTATTTATCAGTACACTTACTCTTGGGGGTGTTTATTTCCCAGTTTTGGAAATTTTGAAAAAGTAATAATAAAGTTAGTAGTCATATTTATCAAAGCATATATCTTAATATCACTTTAAGATTTTCTGAGTTATTCTGATTTAGAGAAGGCAAAATCTTCAAAGTAATGCATTCCTTGAAAATAGAACTATTTTCTCCATAAACAATTTCAATTTATGCAGGTTTAAATGTGTTAAGTTGAAATTCTTATCTTTTACCTCTCCCTCACAAGGAAACACTTATCAAAAGGATATGTGATCAGGTATTTTCCAAATTCCCGGATTTTGTGCAGAAAAGCAAAGAATCGTCCTTTGAAACTCTTTCTGATCCTAAATACAGTGGGAAAATGAAGGTGAGTACTCCTTTTTTAGGTTGCACACAGATGGAGATGACATTCACAGTATTTATCCATGGTATGGCAGGGACACCAGCTAATCAGAACAAGTTCTCAAATGTTCAGAAGAGACTATGGTGGCTATGGACAGCTGGTGTAGTTCTATTTGCATTTGCCTAGTCACTAGGAACCCTGCATACAGATGTGTGCGTACAGTGGTTCTCAGTAGCAGTCATATCAAATGTACTTCAGCCTTTCCTTATTGATGTATTGACTTATGCCCTCTTAAAATGTGTGCTGTTACCACAAACATAATAGTTGTTCTTCAAAAAGGGGAAATGATCTACTGAAAGTGTAAATGCAGGTGCTAGACAGGAAGGTGAGGATAGGTATTGAAAGAATTCTTTGAAGAGCTCATGATGGGCAAAGTATCTGTGCCTATACTGAATTGTCTACCTTTTTTTTCACTTGGTGACCTAAATTGTAAGTTTGCAAGGGAACTTCATTGTGCACAGGGAAACTGACCTGTAGCCATGCTGAAGGAGGGCTATGAGAGGTAAAGCTAGGTTCTCCACCCATGATCCCAGGCCTTCGGACATTGCCTCTGACAGCTGCTTGAAATGCTGGCAGCTTCCAGCCTCCTGGCAAGAAAACACTTTTGCTTAGCTTCTTTATTACAAAGAACTTTTATTTATGGATTCAGAGCTTTTTGCAGAATAATTCCCAACTTTATAATTAATAAAAAGGTAAGCTATTTCTTTTGGCAAAAAGAGTATAAAAAGGAAATAATTGAAAGTAGTTAGCTTTTTTTTCCCCCCCCTGAAAATACCTTTAAGAGTTAATCTAGATAAGCTTATCATGGTTGGTTGCTTGGGACCTCTGAATAGATATTTTAGGACTATTTCTCATCATTTGATTAACAACATCATCTGGTGATATATTGATTTGGTGATCTGAACCTATTGGTTTACCATAGAATTATTGCCTATGGCATAAAGAACTCCAAGTAATTGAGTTGTACATTCTTTTTGAATTGAGGTGTCAAAGACTCAGGTTCTGCTTGTCTTATCTCAGGTCACCATACAGCTACAAGGACTCTGAACATAATGCCTGCTATAGTCTTCATATGCTCAAAATTATACTCATGACCCAGCTTTTTATCTTGAGTGTTAAGGTTATTCATTATTTCAGCTACCATTCAGGGGATAGTCACAAGTTTCACTCATTCACCTGATAAGAATTCTCAGTTTTTTCCCATTGGGAATGCCACTTAGAAAGAGGGGCACAGGAAAAAAAGTGTTGCTCAAATCACACAAAGTTCACTTTTCTAGGCCTGTCTGGCAAAGTTGAGAAAAGTTAGATCCACATTACCTTTGCTGTGAACCTCTCAAATTTAGGCTTTTTTTAAAAAAAATAGTAGGTTGTCGTGTTCTGTGGAAGACAACTAAGTGATAAAACTTTGGGTCTGTATTATCAAGGCTTCAACATGTGTTGACAGTATTGTCGTTTTTTAAAATTTATTATAAGGGATCTTAATCTATAGTTATGTATTTAGTGAGTTTGTTTAAATTAGCCTAATGAAGATCTCCAATCTAAAAATGTTCACTTTTCTTATGGCTTGTTTTTGTTTTTACTGTAAAATATTTGAAAACGCCTAAAGTTAATATGTAATGATACCACCCCAAACAATAAGAGTAGATTTCTTGTCCTGTACATTCTTTCGGGGAATGAAAAGAAAAGTCACAGATCAGGAGAAAGTGTTTGCAAACCAATAAAGAATGGTGTTCAAAAGATAAAAAAGAACTCTTAAAACTCAACAGTAAGAAAACAGGTAACCCAAATTAAAAGTAGGCCAAAGATCTGGATAGATATCTCACCAAAAACATGTACAGGTGGCAAATAAGCATATGCAAAGATGCTCAATATCATATGCCATTAAGGAATTGCAAAATAAAACACGATGCCACTGCACACTCATTAAAATGGCCCAATCCAGAACAATGAAAACATGAAATGCTGGGGAGGGTGTGGAGCATCAGGGCTCCCATTTGTTGCTGGTGGGATGCAGTGGTGCAACCACTTTGGAAGATAGTTTGGTGGTTTCTCACAAAGCTCTTATCTTTTGAGCTCTTAAATTTAAATATTTAGTAAAGATTTAAAATTTAAATTTTAAAAAATAATACCTTAATTATGCTCTCATCAGATGATCCAGCAATCACAGGCCCTGGTATTTACCCAATTGAGTTAAAACAAATTAAATCAATGAGTTTTAATGAGCTAAAAACTACATCTTCCCAAGAACCTCTATGACTATATTTATAATTGCCAGAGCTTGGAAGTAACAAGGATGCCCTTCAGTAGGTGAATGGATAAGCAAACTGGTGCCATCATACAATGGAATATCATTTAGCAATAAAAATAATTAGGCTATCAAACCATGAATTTCATGGGGAAACCTAAATGCATATTGCTAAATGGAAGAAGCCAGTCTGAAAAGATTATATGATTCCAACTATATGACACTCTGGAAAAGGAAAAATTATAGAGGCAATAAAAAGGTGGTTTCTATGAGTTCTGGAGGAAGGAAGGCTGAATAGGTGAAGCACAAGGAATTTTCAGTGCAGTGAAACTGTTCTTTATAATACTATAATTGTGTGTGTGTGTTGTGTGTGTTATGATTCAGTTTTTTCCAAGCCCATAGAACCATACTACACAATGAATGAATCCTAACGTAAACTGCAAACTTCAGTATTAATATATTAATATCCTTAATCAGTTGTTACAAATGTGCCATAGTAATAATGATAAGTGATATGTTTTCTTGTGATGTTACTAGAATAGTAGGCCAGAGGCCTGACTCTGGGGATCCAGTAAATCAAGCCCATCTACTCATTGCAAACACCAAACTGAAAAGGTAATGGTAAAAAACTTGAAAGGAACTTAATCAGTGCAGCTGCACCAGGAAGACAAGGAGGCCCCTGTCCATGGCCCTGAAGTTTTAAAAATAGGGAATGAAGGCTAAAGTTGGGGGGTTTGCCCAGCTACCTAGAGGCTTTTCATAGCCGTCAAAGCAGGTGATTGTGATCAGGTGTGGTCTGTACATCCTTATCTCAGGATTGGTTCAGAGGGGACTTTCTTCCTCCCCCAATTCCATACAAAACTTGATGTTGCATGAGGAATAGCTTCTGCTCATCACAAGATGTTTATGGGATCAGACCTTTTCCTGGAATCCAAGGAGACTCCAAGCAAAGGAAACAGATGCAAAGTGGAGGCAGGGATGCCAAGCCTTTAATCCTGCTTTTAGCCAATGATTGTGTCTTACATGAAATTCAAATGTACATAGTTTATGGGATTCGTGATTTTTATTAATAAAGCTAAATGCAAGTTAAAACTTACTTTTTAAGTTCTTCAGATATTGAAATAATATTTATTTTAGCAGTAACATTTTCATTTACCATTTGGTTATTTATCTGAGTAGATTTCTTTAAAAAATCTTCAGCTTTTTTGAGAGATTGGCAATAGGAATCAAACAGCACAGCATCTTCTTCACTTGCTCAGTTATTAAGAGAGTGTTTTATTGGTTGTAAATTTTTTTTATTTAAAAGTTTGAATATTTATCATTGAATGCATAAAATTGCTTAAGTGTTTGTTTCATAGTTAAGAAAAACTTCAAACATAATACAGAAAATTTCTTTTTCCCCCTCTGTGGGTTGCTTTTCCATGGTGTTCTGAAACTGTCATTGCCAGATGTGGAAATGTCTGTTTAAAAATAACAGCATTACTATTAGACTCAAGGCTTTAGAAGTTTGCTTCCTCCCTAAATGCTTCGTGTGTGGGGACAGATTATTGGCATTTTGAGGTCAAAATCCAATCTGGAAGTCAGGGTTTAACTATAAATAGAGAAACAAAGGGGAGAAAATGAGAAGAGGTGTATATCGGATTGATTAGTTTAGGAAAATAAATACCAAGACTTTTGGAACCTAGATGTAATTGTACACATTCCATTACATCTATCTAGAGACAGCATAAATACTTCCTAAAAGGTATGCTTTCTATAATTTAGTTTCTTAATGTATTATAGGTATAAAGAACATGTATTTTGGAAATTAAATTAATCCATTTAAATGCATCCTATAACCTAAAATGCTTCCTTTAAGAAATTCTCAAGTGATGTTCATACATAGAAAGTATATTTTCAGCTGGGACTGGTTCACTCATGTTCTGTGGTTCATTTCCAGGTTCTTCAGCAGCTTTTAAATCATTTCCGAAAAAACAGAGATAAGGTTCTTCTCTTCTCTTTTTCCACCAAGGTGAGTTTTATCTGATATGTATTTTTGATATGCCCAGCCCTGGCTTCTGAGACATAAAGCAGAAGGGACATAATAGCTTACAGCCATATTTTTCTGTCTTCCATACAGTATTAAATGGTGACAAGGTAAAAAACTTGAGGTTTTCAAATAGACACTTAAATCTCAATTATATCAGGGGCTACTGTCAGATGTTAAATTCAAAAATAGATTTTCATTTTCTGTTGATTGCTTGTTTATGATTAAGGTGTTCTCTGGGACACTTGAGATATTTTAGAATTTAGAAAATAATACTAATAATGTAACATGTTTACATAAATCATTTAACTAGTAATTTCTTTTTATTTGGTTTTAGTTTTCAAAATAGTAGATGATTTTTTTGATCATTTTTTAAGCAAAGGTTTCTGAACATTAAAGCCAGTTTCAGAAAAATTGAAAGAAATATATGGTCTGATGTGAGAATAATATCTATCTATCTATCTATCTATCTATCTATCTATCTATCTATTTAGCGATGCTGGGAATCCAAACCAAGGCCCAGCATGTGGTAGGCAAGTGTTCTACCACTACTACACCTGGCTCTCGAAATATTTACTGCTCATGGAATTTTAAGAAAGAAACCATGAGCGCCAATAATACTTAGTAAGTCTAACGTCTGTGATGGAAGGAAACTCATAAACCAAGAATTCCCATTTGTCCCCCTCCCTGTCTTTCCTCCAGTTGCTTGATGTGCTCCAGCAATACTGTATGGCATCTGGGCTGGATTACCGGCGACTTGATGGAAGTACAAAATCAGAGGAAAGGCTCAGGATCGTGAAGGAGTTCAACAGTACACAAGATGTTAACATTTGCCTTGTCTCTACAATGTAAGAAATTAAATTTGATATCTTGATTTTTATCTAGTTGTTTTTAATACTTAAGATAATTTTAAAAAATGTTACTGGATTGATTTTTAGTGAATATGCTTACAATGCTTTTTTTTATGTGAGTTTAAGGAGAAGCAGGAAAATGTGTTAAGTACAACTGATAAACAAAATCTTGAATTTTTCCTAATCTTTTCTCTCCTTTCCTTTATCATCACTTAATTCCCTTGTAAGTGTAGATTTATAAAGACATGAGCCTCATATCTTGTGGTGAGAACAATCAGACTTCTTATCCATTGGATAACTGAGAGTCACTGCAGAAGCAGTTTTCCAAGTTGAGCACACTCAGGGGGCCCTTCAGAGCCTGTTGGGCGGGGGTTGCCCTCCTCTGCTGCTACCTTGTCTCAACTGGAACCACTCCACAGTTAGAAACTTTGTAAAAGGTAAATTTGCTCCTACACCTATCTGTGTATCTCTAAAACCCTTTAAAGAACATATACACTTTAGAGAAAGATTTAAGTCAATATAAATACCTGAGTAAGTTGAATCCATTTTGGAGGAGTAATAAGTCTATAATTTATGACATCTTATTATTGACTTACTGCCTCCATCTTCCAAAAGGAATTTCAAGAGATTTTAAAAAGAAATAGATGTAAAACAAGACAGAAGAAAAATTATCTTTTTTTTGGTACTGAAGATTGAACCCGGGGGCACTTAACCTCTGAGCCACATTCCCAGCCCTTTTATATATTTTATTTTAAGACAGAGCCTCACTCAGTTTCTTAGGACTTCACTAAGTTACTGAGGCTGGCCTTGAACTTGCAATTCTCCTGCCTCAGCTTCTTGAGCTGCTGGGAGTACAGGAGTGTGACACTGTGCCCAGCTAAAAAAATTAAAGTGAGGAGTAAAGATTATTTATAATGAGTCACTACTGGGGAACTCTAAAATTATTCTTGAATTCTTGCAACTAAGGCAAAGGGAGAGAGGCTTTGGATTCCCATTTCCTATAAATGAATTTGAGAAGTCAGTTCTCACAAGAGTCCTTACATACAGAGCATTAAATGGTGTAGAATACTATCTTCAAGTAAATTTTGTAAAACACACATATGCATTCTTTATTTTAAAATAGTGCGTCTCAAAGTAATAATATTGAACAGTCCAAATAGTACAGAAGAGAGTGTGACAAGCCCTGCGCTCTCCCCTCTGCTCACCTTCAGTCTGAGTGGCCCAGAACTTCCATATAGCTCCTCATTATTTCTTCATCTGTGTCTCAGAAATTGCTGTTTAACTCATATAGTGAATTTTCAATTTTTAAAGACTGTTTTTTCTTTTTAGAAATTGTATTTGATTCTTTCAAATCTACCTTATCATTTCATTTGTATTTTGTTCTTTGTAATTTCTAACCTTCATTTCTCTAATACTTTTATCACACTTCTAAAAACCTTTTTGAATGGCATTTTTGCTCTAGTAACTCCTGTACTTGGGGATGCTGATCCTTCTACTTGTGTTTCCTCTGGCTCTGGGCTTATGATAAATGGTTTCTTTATGTGTTTTCTAATTCTTTAAAAATTTGAACTTCTCTTCAGTAGGGCTTTTTCTTCTGTGGAAATCCTTTTGAGACAGATTGCTGGAGTTTTCCACTTAATTTTATCTTATGCTAGGTATCCCAACCAAGGGAATGGAAGAAGTTTTGGGTTCCTATTTTTCTGTGACAGAATTCAAGAACTAATTTTTGCATTAGTACATAAAGATCCTGATTTTTGCATTAGTCATTACATAAAGAACCTTACATAATATGATAAATACATCTCAACTATGTTTTGCAAAAGATAAATAAACTTAGTTTTTTTGTTTATTTTGCAATGGTTTATATTTAATTTCTACTGTAGCAGAAGTGTTTCCACATTGGAATAGCTATTATTTTGCCAGAATTCTATCAACTATATACAACTTGAAATCTATTATGAAAGAGAAGGATTTAGTTTCCTTTCATTACTCCTTCCCTTTTTCTTACAGTGTTTGCTAATTTTATTATTATGTTTTGTCTATCAACTACTTTTGTAATTTTAAATCATTATTCTTCTATTAGATCCACCTCCCAGGATTCCATGCTATCTTCATTTTTGGTTTGCTCCCTTGTTTCACTGGAAAGTGTTCAGTGTTAATGTTTGGTCCATTGGTAGTCTACATATGTTCTGTTCTAAGTCCTTGTAATGTGTGGTATTAACATTAGTGCGCACCTACTCTTTCTTCTGTTTTAAGATCAGATTATTGTCCATAGGTTGGCTCTGAAGTTTGAAGGTCAAAACCAGCACTTAGATTATTATGATTTTGTATACATTGTTTAGTCCTAGGCTAAGAATGGCTAGGACAACCTCTCTGAATGTTCATGAGTTTTCAGCCAGTTCTGGGAGTTCTCAGCATCACCAAATAAGTTCTCTTTTCTAACACTCCATCCATTGTTCATATTTGCATGGTTCAGTTCAGTTCACAGTTCAGTCATGACTTTCTTTCTTAGCTTTTTTCCCTTTTGGATTTTTGCACTTTATAATAAATCTCACTCTATTATTAATTCTTATTAGCATGTTGTCCTCTGTTGAGTCATTTGTATTCTTAAGGTCTTTATCCTGAAGCCTTTTATCCTAATTGTTTCTAGGCCTGATGAAGTACTGCTGTATGGAAGCTTTCCTTTACTACTTTATTGCACCGGATCTTTTTCCTGGGTTTCATGCTGTCTCCATTCTTGTCTGCCTGTTGTTTTGTTGGAAATATTTCCTCAAGTAACTTTGTTAGTCAGGATGAATAGAAAGCAAACTCTCTACATCCCTGACTGTAGGAGATGTGTCATCTCACACATATGGCATTGCAGCACAGTCTGCTGGTATTTAGTGTTGCTAAATAGATGCCCAAAGCCAATCCGATTCACATTCCTCTTGGGGAATTCATAAGGGTTTGTCTTCATCTGTGGTATTCTGAAATTTCACAGTGACATTTGAGTCTTATTGTGGATCTTTGATTCTTCATTGTGCTAGTCATAATCTGAAGACTTATTCTTTTTTAGTTTTGAAAATTCTGTCTTCTTATTTCTTTAACAATGGCATCTTTTTATTCCATTTTCTTTGTTCTTTTTTGCATGCCAAATTTTCAGTTTAGAACTTCTGTATTAATTCTTTAAATCTCTGAACTTTTTTCTCATATTTCACATGTTGTCATCTTGCTCTTCTGTTCTGAGAAGTATCATTTTTCAATATAATTGATTATTTTATTTAAAATAATCACATTTTTATTCTAAAATATTTCTAGCTTTCTACACTCTTGTTCTCTAAATTATCTTTATTCTTTCAGTACCTTAAATCTTAGCTTTCCATAATAGTTAAATTAAGTTTATTTGAAGAGCCATTTAGCACTTTTTTGTATGTGTGATTGTATTTTTTATTGTAATCATTGAGTTTACAAATAACTTTCAGGAAAATTGACATTCTTATGATACTAAGCTTTCCTACCCATTAATATGGTGTCTCTCTGTAATTATTTCAGCTTTCTTGGAAGCATTGTTAAATGGATACTTCATTTGATTCTTTATTAATATTTAATATATAACAATAAAGCTTAAAGACGTTTTTGTGGAACAGTAAGATATGGTGAAAGTATGCTTTTTGATATTTAGTAAAAGACTAGAATGTGGAAGACCCATTGAATGAACAGCCTGCCTGCTCATTAGGTTTCTGTCTCAAATATTAGTCTTCAGCTCAAAAAGGGCAGTATTCTATTTTACTGTGTAAAGAATAACACATTTCTGTTAGCCATATAACAACAGAATGATGGATTTGAAAGTAAGCTTCTGTGTTGTGTTGTCATCATAGAATCATCTCATTCCTAGAGTTAGAGTTGAGACATTTTTCTTTCTTTAAAAAAAGCTTTTCCTCTACTTTAATTCAGCCAGGTCCCAGTTGTAATTTCAGAATCTCTTAGAAGATTATTACCTCCAGTAGTGGAGACCTTCTCTGTGGCTCATACAGGGCATCTGAGAAGAATTCATGTCCATCCAACTTTACCAGCTAGAAGCTAACTGGAGCAAATGATTAGATTTATTGGACAGATAAACCTTTAACTTCCACACGTTTGGTATATAAATTCCACCCACACTTACCCAACTTACCCATTTTTTAAAATGCTTTGCAAAACTCTCCCTATCCCATCTTCCTCCTTTGAATTTAAGTCTCTGTGACATCTTTATACTATCACCTTTAATAAGTAATTTTCTAAAGTACAATATTCAATTTCTGCAAGCACTGAACTATAAGTCAAGATGCTTAGATTTGAATGCAGAAATCTAGCACTTAGGAAACCTTCAATTAGTTATTTTTTCTGATTTTCAGTTTCCTTATCTGTAGGATGAAGATAATATTTAGCTCATGGAGCTAGCTAGTAACCAGTAAATATGATCTAGTAAATAAGGAAATATCTTGCACAGTTTCTGGTGGGTACTCAGTAAATCTTAATTTCTTTCCATTTTGATAACAATTGTAGGAGAGAAAATTATTACCATCCCTCTAGATGATTATCATTCAGTGTTAACTTAGCATCAGTTAAGTGATACAGTTAATTTTGTGATACAGTAATGCAGCCGAAGAGGAAAGCTATTAGTATAAATCTTCAGAGAAAGACTTGAGAGGCAGGACTAGACAAACAGCTGAGGAAAAAAAGGAAATCATTTAGTTCTTGGATTTTAGTTTTGCTTTTCTTCTTAAAAAATATTAAATTTTATTATTAGCATACTATTAAATATAGGGAAAATTGAAAACATGAAAAGATCACAGTTGCATCAGATAAAATCTGATGAGCTGTGCAGGAAGCTGGAATCTAAAACTCAGGCAAACATTACGTACATTCAGTTTCACTATAAGATTCCTTTACTTCAGAAAGAGTTTCATTTCAAAAGAGATGATTATGCTAGTAATATTCAAATACATTTGGTTGGCAGAAAAATGAATCTAACAAAA